AAAAAAAAAAAAAAAAAAAAGAATGTCAGATAAGTGGAACCCTTCAGTAAGTAACTTTGAGATTAGCTTCTTTTAATTCTTTAAGTGGTTTGTTCGACCATTTACATATTGAAGAACATCTGAGTTATTTACAGTTTGGAGTTTGGAGCTGTTGCAACTTAAGGTGCTAACCATCCTCTGCACTATGGGTTATCTGGTGAACACAAATTGTCATTTTCTAGGATAAATGTCCAGGAGTGTAACTGCTGGACCTTTGGTTATGGTTAGTTTTTTAAGGAACTTGGTTGTAGGTCAGTGACAGAGGGTTAATGAGTGTTAGTGTTTGAGTGCTTGAGTGTTTTTGTCTATATGTGTTCCTCTGAAATATCTCCTCCTGTGTTTGCCCGTGTTCTAATTTAATTGTTTTTATTTTTAGGTTTGGAAATTCTTTATATATTCTAGATGGTAGTCCTTTGTTGAAATTGTGATTTGTACATATTTTCTAGTGGCCTCTATCTTCAAAACAAAAGTTTTTAATTTTGATGAAGGACAGTTTGTCATTCTTTCTTTTTAGAGATTCTATTTATGGTGTTAAATCTAAGAACTCTTAGTAATTTTAGATCCTGAAAATTTTCTCTGTTTTGTTCTAAAAATTTTGTGGTTTTATATTTTACATTAAAGTCTATGTCCATTTTGATTTAAAATGGACGTGAGAGTTGGTTTACCTACCACCTCTCACGGATGTCCCAGTAATTGTTCCAGCACAATTCATTGAAAGACCCCGTTACCACCATTTAATTAACAACTTTGTCAAAACTAATTTTGGCATTTTTGTGTGGGTCTCTTCCTAGATTCTGTATTCTGTCCCATTGATCTGTGTGTCTGTCTGCCAGTAACACATGGTTCACAGTAGCTTAATATGTCTTAAATAGCCTGTGCTGATTCTTCTACTTTAGTCTTTTTCGGAAAAAAATTTTTCAGTTCTTCTAGTTTGTTTGCATTTCTGTATAAATGTTAGAATGGTGTTGCCCTAGTTACAAAAATAGTAGTGAGATTTTTATTGCAGTTGTGTTAAACTTTTATTTCAAACTGGCAGGAAAATTTTAATGTCTTTACTGTGTTGTCTTCCAATCCAGAGCATTCTCTGTTTCCATTTATTTACATTGTCTTTGGCTTTTTTCATGAATGTTGTATTATTTTGAGTGTACAGGTCCTGTACATGTTTTTGTTAGATTTATACTTTCTTGTTTTGAGTAATTGCAAATTATATTCCTAAAATTTTGCTGTCTATATGTATTCCAAGTATTATAATAGAATATATGTATGGTTTATAGCAGTCTGGATTGCTGGCTGCTTTGACAGTTTTCTTGGCTTTAGTGTTCAGAAGTTTGTTGATGAGGTGTCATGATGTGGATTCTTTTTTTTTTGGTACTGGGGATTGAACTCGGGTCCTTGCGCTTGCAAGGCTGGCCACCGAACCGCTGAGCTAAATCCCCGGCCCATGATGTGGATTCTTTAGGATTTGTCCTGTTTGAGGATTTGCTCAGGTTCATCTATCTGTAGATTTATTTTTCTTGCCAAATTTGGAGCTTTCAGCCTTTATTTCTTTGAGTACATTTCAGCATGGCTCTGTCTTGTATATCCAAGGTTTTGCAGATCTTTTGGTGTAGTCCTGCAGAGAGAGTCTGTTCATTCATCTTTTGGCTGTTTTCTTTCTGTCCAGATTGGGTTGTTTCTGTTTCGCCTTCCACTTCACTCGTTCGTTCTTCTTTCGGTTACGTTTTTGAGTCCATCTACTGAATGTTTCCCCCATCCATGTATTTATTGTATTTTTAAGTTATAATTTTTTCTTTTGGCTCCTTTTATTTGCATAAAGTTTTTCTTTGCTGAATCTCTTCTGTTTTCATTTATTTCAAACATGTTCATAATTTCTCTTGAAGCACGTATCATGACTGCTTTATTTTAGATAACTCTCAATATTTCTGTTATCTTGGTGTTGGATTCTCTTACTTAACTTTACTCTATTAGAATCTTTCTGGTTCTTGATGTGATGAGTGATTTTTAGTTGAAACTGGGCTTACATTATGTTAGGGGATTCTGGATCTTAAATTTTTTCTTTTAAGTTGACTTTTCCATGGCAAGGGAAGCAGGGCTACTGTCTACTGCCAGAAGACATAAACATTTATATTCTACTTAGCTTTCGTTGATACATCTGGGAGTAGGAGATGCATCACTCACTGTTGGGTGGAGGTGGTAGTTCTAATTTCCCACATAGACTCTACAGACGCTGCTTTGGTATGGCCTCATGATTGCCAGAAGATGGTGAAATTCTTCACTCTACTTGGCTTCCCCTAGTACCACCCCCCAGAAAGAAACTGGCAAAAAGTCATTACTGGTGGAGTGAAAGGTGCCTGGAGTCAAAGCTGAGGCTTCTCACATGGTCTTTGCTGGCAGGTAGCGATGGGGCCGTGTTTTTCTTTGGTGTGTTTAGGTGGATTTGAAGGGGTCTTACCTAAACTATTTTTTGTGTTTCTAGCCAGCTATCTGCTAGATGTTTCACTTTTGTTGTTGTCTTTGTGAGGTTATTTTGGTTTGTTTTTGTTTGGTCTGCATCCCTTGGTAGTTCCATATAAATGTTTTTTTTCGACTCCGTGTTTGGTATATATGAGATAAAAAGTAAATCCAGGAATCACCATAGTGTCATTCTTCAGCTCCAGAGGTATCTAGCCATTCTGTCCTCTCTACATGTTTCATGTTTCAGAGTCTTACATGTGTTTCACATGTAATGTGTAGGGTTTTTAGTTGTAGTTCACAAAAGCGATAGGGAAAAATATGTTTATGCCATTGGTCTTGAAACTTTGGTTTGTTTTTGTTCCTTACTTCTAAGGATACTGTATCATGTTTTTGTTTGTTTGTTTGTTTTTTTACTTTTGTACCGGGGATCGAACTTGGGACCTTGGGCTTACAAGGCAGGCAGCACAACCACTGAGCTAAATCCCTGGCCCAAATTGTTTGCATGTGTATATGTTTTTCAGTTTATTGGGTTTTATTTTCCTTTTTTAAATTATGTTTTAATTCCAGAGCTTTTTGTTGTTGTTGCTATTATCTTTACCCATAAACATTTTCTTTTCCCTAGCAGTGAAGAGTAATTGTAAATTAAAATAAATTCCAAAAAGCAAATAGACATCTGTGAAAATAAACCTTTGGGCCTCATTTGCACTTGATTAGAGAATAGTAAACAAATTTTTTAATATTGGGAATAGTTTTTAATTTACAAAGAAAGATCACAATTATAAGTAGCAGTCATTGATATGTACTTTTTTGAGTAGAAGGTAGTAAAAAGACAGCATCAGTGTAGGTTGGATTAATGGGCTGCTTATCTGGTATGTTTTTGATTGCTTCTCAAAACATGCTTAACAAAAGTTCCTGGTAATTTACACATAATGACTATTCATATGTCCCAAAAGTATGACTAAATGCAAATATAAAAGGACCATAGCTGGAGTAATGAACTGTACATACATGAAAAGATGATACTTTTATAATTTTTCTTCTTGCAAAGAAAGCAGCACATTTTTATAATTTGTAGACCCTTAAAACCAAAAAAGATACTAAAAGTCAAGTAACTTTGCTATTTCTCTCATCAATGTAATGCAGCTTCTTTTGATTACAAAGCTCCACTACTTCACAAGGTGGGGCATTTTACCTTCAGTAGCTGTAATGCCTACCAGCCTCTTCTATTCTGAATTGGCCTTTCCTGTTAGATCCAGTTCATTGGTTCTTATTCTGCTTTTGGGTCTACTCTTTGACAAGAGTATAGGAAGGGGGAAAATCTCATTTTTCTGAAGATTTTGATCATTACTAAATACCTTGTCCTTTCCATTTTTTTACTTTTCATGGCTAAGATCCTTCACGATTTTGTCTGCCTTGTTCAATCTGTATATCTAGTCTTTCTTAAGTGGAGTTGTGGCATTCACAATGCCACACACCACTTTCATAGCATGAGTAGGAACTTGGCTGCTTAAAATACTATACTGTGGCACTGTGCCTGCCTGGCAAGTGCAAGGTCATTAGTTTGATCCCCGGTACCACACAAAAAACAAAACAAAAGAAAACAAAAAACCAAAATACTGCGCGCTGTACTATTATTCCTCATTTATACATAACAGCAATCTTTCTGAGAGCCTTTGAGGCCTTGAAGGTTCTTCTAAGTTACTGTATTTGCATTCATTTTTGGCCAGAAATTGTTGTTGAATTTATGAATGGCTTGTGGCCCCAGGATTTTTTTCTTTCCTTAGTGAGTTAATTAAGCATTAATTTAAGCCTGCCTTATTTTGTTACTTAATGTAGTAGGTTTTTTTAAAATCTAAATACAAGACCACTCTTATCATTACAATGTTTTCTTGTTAGCTTTATGGCATTCTCAATTTTTATTTCTCTTTGATTCATTAGATTTGTCATCTTCCTCTCTGATCCCTCTCCCCCCTCTCCCTAAGTCTTCTACCTCCCACCCCTATCTAATTATGCTCACTTTTTTGTTTGTTTGTTTTGTTTTTGTTTTTTGAAACAGGATCGCTTTGTAGTCCAGGCTGGCCCTGAACTCACTATGTGGCCTAGGTTGGCCTGGAACTCACGACGATTCTCCTTCCTCAGCCTCCTGAGTGCTGGGGTTATAGGCACGCACCACCATGTCCAGCCAAATATTTGATGCCTTTTTTTTGTACCAGGAATTGAACTCAGGGCCTGCTTGCCAGACAGGTGCTGTGCTGCTGATCGGCATCCCATGCCCAATACTCACTTTTAATCATTATAACCATCTCCTGTTGTTGAAAGTGTTGGTGAGGTAGGGTCAGACGCAGAACACTGGTGGAACACTTCTGTAGTGAGTTACATGAATTCATTAAGCTGTTTTAGAGTATCTCAATCAAATATGGTATAAATTCTTTACATTTCAAATCAAAAACTGAAAAATAATATTTTCTGAAGTCTATGCCAATCATTACAGAAAGTTGGATGATTTTTAAATGTATTTTTTTGAAGTTTGAAATATTCTAGTATTTATCTTGGTTTCATGTACTCATTTAAAAAATATTCCAGGAAATCCACTTACCCAGGATATATTGAACCTCTCTCTGGAACCAGATGGAACAAGAAGGCTACTGAACTATTTGCTTGATAATTTGTCAGGTACTGCAAAAAGAAGTAAGTGGTCATTTGTTTAAACCTTTTTATTAGGAAGACATACAAGAATATTGCTTAATTTTATGTTCTCTATACTTACCTAGTTTCCACAGAACAGCCACCTCCAAGATCTTGGATTATGTTACAAGAACCAGATAGAACAAGGCCAACTGGTTGGTAACCTAATTTTTAAACTTACTTTTACTTGGTCTCAATTTTTTATTCTTATTTTTACTTGGACCACTTTTTACTTGGTCTCACCTCTTATTTTAACTCTCATTTATACTGTTCTTTACATGCTTTAGGTCAGTGGTGGTGAACCTCTGGCATGTGTGCTGCAGCAAGTTGTCATTGAAAGCTCCCAAAGGTTCACCATGGCTGCTTTAGATAATGGGCAACAAACATTAAGGCAGAATTCCTGTGGTTGATTATTAGGTTTGGGAGGTCTTCTGTCCTCTGTGTGTGCTGTACAGGACAGAGTATGCTATAAAGCATACTTTTGAGACCGATGCAGTTTTATGCTCCAGGAATCATTCATCACTGTCTGAAGGCAATTTTGATTATCCAAACTGGGAGGAATGCTATAGGCATCTAGTGGGTAGAGGCCGACAGTGCTGCTTAAGAGTCCCTCTGACAACTTACCCATCTAAAATGTCAGTGGAGCCACTGTTGAGAAACCCTGCTTTAAAGTCAGATTCATTTATAGATAAATACACCAAGATCTTCCTATAGTGGAAGTTTCCAAATCCTTATATGTTCCAAATGTGTTTAACCTAAGTTTTATGAAAATAGTTCAGAGCTCCCACAGCATGTAATAGGATTTGGTTTATGATATTTCTTTCTTTTTGCATGAATTGAAAATATGGGCATGACCTTTTTTTTTTTTTTAATTTGTTTTGTTTTGTTTTTGTTTTGTAGTACTGGGGATTAAACTCAGGATCTTGGGCTTGCTAGGCAGGCACAACGTCACTGAGCTACATCCCCGGCCCGATCTTGTTTTGTTATATTTTGCTTTATTGTGCTTCACAGATACTGTGTCATTTTGTTTTATAAATTGAAGGTTTGCAGCAGTGCCATGCTGAGTAAGTGTGCCATTTTTCTAATAGCACAGATAATGACTGACATATTTTAGCACTAAAGTATATCTTTAGTTATATGCCCCTTTTTAGTCCTGCTATTACACACTGAAGGTAATAGAATCTAAACATTAACATTTATATGTACTGGGAAGCCGAAAAATTCATGTGACTTGCTTTATTGAGATATTTACGTGACTGCATTGGGTGGAACTGCTCTTTCTTAGGTATGCCTGTAGTTGCTCTCTGTACGAATAATAGACATGTTTACTAAAAGACTACCTTTCAGCTTTCTACGTCTACTTTAAGTATCAGTGACCTGGTGGAAGTCGTAGAGAAATGAGGGATTGTGGTTTTGGAGGTTGAGGGGCTCAGGATCTTATAGTCCTTTAGCTTCCAGACTTTGCTTACCTCTGTAGCAGACAGCACATTATACTCTTCGTTTGTTCGTGTATCTCTTTTCATTACCTGTCTCTGTCTCCTCTCTCTGTGACGGGCATTGCAGCATTTTGTTGTTGTTCATTAAGTTTGTTGGTACATTTTAGGTATAGAATATGACGATATTCCTTGTTGGGAATTTCTACCTTTACATGGTGTATCTTAGGTCTTATTTTATCCCCATTTCCCTGCCCTCCCTTCAACTCCTCTACCCCTCCCTATTTACAAAGACTTTTTTCCATTTTTTCCTTTTTTCATATTTATTCCGTTCCTTTCTTTTCTTTCCCTAATCTGTAGCTTTTTAATAATATAGATCGAATAAAGACAAACAACATTTGAGTGAAACCTATTACTGAAATTGTCTTTTTTTATGCCATATGTGTGAATAAGTAAAGTTATCTTTTCTACAGCCTTGTTTTCTGTCATGTGCTATAATGTTCTTTGTGATAAATATGCGACCCGGCAGCTATATGGCTACTGTCCATCATGGGCACTAAATTGGGACTACAGGAAAAAGGCCATTATTCAAGAAATCTTGAGCTGCAATGCTGATATTATAAGTCTTCAGGTAAGTCACACAGAAGAGTGTTTAAATTGCAGGAATCTTCTAACATTGACAAAGCCAGAAGCAAATACGCTAGGATACATTACACTGGCACATTTGAAATTATTATTACTATTTAAAAATTTTTTTTTCTCGTTGAGTTTATCGGTACATTTTAGGTATACTGTACAGTTACATTCATCATTGGGATCTTGTACCTTTACATGACAGGTCTTGGTTCTCATTTTATCCCCGTACCCCAGCCCTCCCTTCATCCCCTCCTCCCACATTTGAAATTATAGTTTCAACATTTCTTAAAATACCAGCTTTTTTGTTTTTAGTGAATTCTAAGTGCTTTGCTGTGCAATAATACGCTACCAGATAAAGCAAGTGTGTTGAGCTGGATTTTAAGCATTTACAATAGCCGCTACATTTTCGCCTCCCTCCCTCCAGCAGCAGCTCTGCACACACTATTTTTGAGTTGGGTGGCAGAGTAACTAAAATTGTGGTATCACCTAGGTAATTGTACTTTACCACTTGTGTTAAAATAGTAATTAGGGCATGGTGGGGAAAGGATTGGAGCTCATTCATGTACGGTGACTTTGGCTTCTTAATCCATCTCTCAATAATTTTAAAATCTTGGAGGGCCAAGAATTTAGCTCAGGGGCACCACTGCCTGCCTCGCAAAACCCAAGGTCCTGAGTTCGATTCCTAGTGCCACAAAAAGAAGAAAAAAATCTTGGGCAAGTCACTTTCTTTCTCCTCATGAGTCTGAAATTATGATCTGTGAAGTTCCTTCTGCTTCTGTGATTTTTATTTCATCAGTCTAAGACATAGACGTTCCTATGAATGTGTGTCTTCCCCTTCATTACTCCTAAAAGGCAAAAGAATTGACCTTGGCAATAAGTGATAACCACCCGTGAAAGGACAACTATATGTTGTGATTGGTTTTAGGTAAATTGGATTGAACAGATGTTACATTCTTTCATCTGCAGCTCAGTCCTGTACTACTTGAAGCTTTCACATTACACATACAGAGTTAAGTGTAGGGCTGATTTTTGTCCCTTGCAGTAACTTTCTGTTTACAATTTTTTTTAGGAGGTTGAAACAGAGCAGTATTATAGTTTTTTTCTGGTAGAACTAAAAGAACGTGGCTATAATGGATTCTTTAGTCCAAAGTCTCGAGCTAGGACAATGTCAGAACAAGAAAGAAAACATGTGGATGGCTGTGCAATATTCTTCAGGACTGAAAAGTAAGCCTTTGCATTTTTAAAAAATGTAAAATGTTTTTAGTATTTGTGGGGTGAGGACCAAGGATGTGTAAGTTAATTGGCAAATACGAGAATGAAGCACTATTACTAAATCAGAAAAATAGTATCGGCTTAGGTATTTTTGTTTTTAATCATCAGAAATAAGTTCTGTAGACATGCTGAAAGTGCTGCTGTTTCTTCAGGTGTTTACTAGGACTTTAACTCCAATCGTTCCTTGAAAAACTACGTTTTTAACAGTCCCTCTAGGATGATAGAGGGATTCTTAAACCTATATTTTGGAAAATGATTATTTATAAATTATTGTTAGATGGAATATTCCAGCATGAAACCTAAAAAGATTATTGTATTACACTAATTTGTAGTTTATTACACTATTTCAAGATGTTATTTGTATCAGTAACAGATTCAAAACAACTTTGGATGTGAGAAGGTTGGTGCTGAGTGTGAGGGATTTTCCATAATGTGACTTAAGTGCCATCATATCTGTTAAGGAAGTTTGGGAAAACCATATTTCCCACAACGCTAATATCTTGATATTTCCAATTCTTTGTTTACATGTGTGTGTTTGTTTCTGTTTTAGATTTACTTTGGTTCAGAAACACACTGTTGAATTTAATCAGCTAGCAATGGCAAATTCAGAGGGGTCTGAAGCTATGCTGAACAGAGTCATGACAAAAGATAACATTGGAGTTGCAGTACTGCTAGAACTTCGAAAGGAATTGATTGAAATGTCATGTGAGTGGCCCTTTTACTTCCTGTAAAATTGATCCTCAAAATTTAATAATTCTGATTAGACATCTACAAAAAGAATGAAAAACAGACATCTCATTATTAATGATGGTCTTATCTAACACCTGAAGAAACTCAGTTAGAATTTGTTTTTCTAAAACATTATCTCTTTGTTTCACAAAGCTTGAGATAGGAAAGCATTGCTCGGAAAAGTATTACAAACCTCAAAAAGAGACAGAGCTAAAAAAAGATCTTTTTTGTTTGCTCTCAGGAATTTTTCACATAAAAGAAACACTGAAGTAAATATTAATTAAAATAACTATAATGGATAAAAACTTTATAATGTCTTGTCAGCAGTGATACTCTGTAACCTAACTTATCTTCCTGATCCACTTGTAATAATTTTGTTAAAGGTATGTAAAGGTCTTGAGTTTTGGAAAATAGTCTATTTATTTCAGACTCAGAGCATATTTAGAGTGGCTGTTGTTCCGAGAACTGAAGTTTGGAATACTTGGAATGGCGATTTTTAATGTGAAGGATGTTAGGGGTAGACAGTAGAACTTAATGTTTTCTTAAATATATCTAAGAAGAAGGGTTTAGATTTAATTTGGATCTGGACACATAAGCTAAGACTAAAAGTTTCAAGGAGACAGAACTTTTGAAAATCAAGCTTCTAAATAGAATGGTTTATGTGGACACAAGTGGTGGATTTTCCTGTGCTACAAGGGTTACCCAGACGTATAGATGTCTGTGTTGCATGTTTTAGTCAGTGAATAGATGGGGAATTATTAGGTAAATGTTGGGATCCTTTTATTTTCTGAGACTCTGTTATAATCAGCTTGCTTTCAGACTTGAGAATCTGTGGGCTGATGGGTGGGTTTTTGTCTGTTTGTTTTCTTCTTGTCTAATGTAGCTGGAAAGCCACATCTTGGAACAGAAAAACAACTTATTCTTGTGGCTAATGCTCATATGCATTGGGACCCTGAATACTCTGATGTGAAGTTGGTACAAACTATGATGTTCCTCTCAGAAGTGAAGAATATTATTGATAAAGCCTCTCGAAGCCTCAAATGTAGTGTATTGGATGAATTTGGAACTATTCCACTTGTGTTGTGTGCAGATCTTAATTCTTTGCCAGACTCTGGTAAGAAAAGAGTCCTATTTTCTATAGTATGAATATTTTTTGACTTAAAATGTTTTTGTAATGTATCATTCCTGATAATTCCAAATTTAGTCCACATGAAAATTCAGTTTGTACTCAGGAGCCAGTTTTAAAGTTTTTCATGTGAGGGCCAGGGATTTAGCTCAGAGGTTCCACCGCCTGTCTCGCAAGTGCAAAGACTGGAGTTTGATCTCCAGTACCCCCAAAAAAAAGAAAAAAAAAGTTTTTCATGTGTGAGATAGAGACATCATTTTGAAAAAGAGGTGGTATTATAGAAACCTAAGGAGAGAGGTCATTAATCATCTGTGATAAACAAATAAGTGATAGTGGCTGAGCATCCCTAATCCAAAATCTGAAATGCTCTAAAATCCAAAACTTTCTAGCACTGACATGATGCCACAGTGGAAAATTCCATACCATGAAACTTCTTTTCATGCATAAAGTTATTTAAAATTCTGTACAAAATCCCCTCCAGGCCTCATATATATAAGGTGTATATGAGATATTTATAAATGAATTTCATGTTAAAACTTGGGTCCCATCCCCAAGATCATTATGTATATGCAAATACTTCAAATCTGAGATCCAAAACAGGGAATACTCATCTTTTTAACTTGAAATAATTTGTGAGTGAACAATTATTATCCTAAATCATACAGTCCAGATTGCAAAAAGGTTACTAAGCGCTTCTTTAGGATCCTGGCATGTGGTAATATGAACTTGGTCAGAATTCGACTGATCCACTGGGCGTGATGGCACATGCCTATAATCCCAGCAGTAGGGAGGTTGAGGCAGGGGGATTGCTGTGAGTTTGAGACCAGCCTGGGCTACATAGTGAGTTCCAGTTCAGTCTCAACTACATAGTGAGACCCTGTCAAAAAACAAACAAAAAAAGAATTCGACTGATCCCATATTACATGATCTTTGTTTTTGTTTTTGTTTTTTGAGACAGGGTCTCACCGTATATATAGAGTTCCTAATGGCCTTATCAGGCTGTCTGGGGATTACTAATACTGAAAGGATTGATGAATTTCATATAATTTCTCTACATGCTTTCCATGCTCTAGATAGCTGCAAGGAGCAAGGAGAGAAAAGTACAGTATGTTAATAGCAAATACATGGGATAATATCCACTAATGCTGACTGAATGAAAATATATTTGCAGAGCCTATTTTATACTTAGGAAATTGGGAAAATATTGCCCAGGGATGGTAAAGTTGGCTTTGTAACTAACTGGTGAGATTCTCTTCCATAGTTTACAGCATTGCAGAAAGTAAAGTAGAAACCTGAATTTTTAAAAACAAGAAACTAGTAAATACCACTACTCTAGCTTAATTGTTTTATTTAGCCATTAGAAAAAGTTGGTTAATTAAGAAAACACATCACCTTTAAATGAATAAAGACTATGACTGTGTAATAGATTTGGACAAGTTCTGGCAAAATTATTTTAAAACATTTTAGAAAGCGGAAATCTTTTAAATTAATTACTGTTGCATGATCTTTTTTGAGGGGGTGGGTTGAGACAGGGTCTCACCGTGTAGTTGAGACTGACCTGAATCTCACTATGTAGCCCAGGCTGGTCTTGAACTCACAACGATCCTCCTCCTGCCTCAGCCTCCCGAGTGCTGGGATTATAGGTGTGTGCCACTATGCCCGGCATTGCATGATCTTTTTGAATTTATTTGCTGTGTATTGAACTTGACAGTGATAAAAGTACATCTCTCTTCATTTTAGGTGTTGTAGAATATTTGAGCACAGGTGGGGTAGAAACAAATCACAAAGACTTTAAGGAACTGAGATATAATGAAAGTCTCATGAACTTCAGCTGTAACGGAAAGAATGGAGTGAGCAATGGAAGGATCACCCACGGCTTCACATTGAAGAGTGCCTACGAGAGTGGCCTGATGCCGTACACGAATTACACGTTTGACTTCAAGGTGTGTCTTACGGCGGAGTCCTGGGTCTTTAACATGTGGATTTGTGTTCAGACTGGAGTCGAAGCGACCTTATATTCATTGACAGCGGTATTCTGTTATTGACCTTGTGTAGAATTCCTCGTGATTGATGTCACATCCTCGCTCACTAATCTGTTAGAATATTTTCCACAGTAAGAAGTCAGATGACGTAATGAATGTAAATCAATTCCTAAAGCAGTTTTACCTTTCGGAGCAGTTGGTTACATGCTCTCGGTTGGATATGCAGTACTGCGATATCTGAATTTGGTTGTGAGGTGAGGGTGAGACTATGTGTTTAGCTGAACGTGTACTCCTTTGAGTGCCAAAGTGTGGTTTATAGTATCCTTTTCTGAAATGTTCCTAAAATACATTTATGCACTGCCTTGCACACTTAATGTGTTATAGTGTAGAATCTTTTCTCACTGGCTTGTTTTTTTAAATCAGTGATTACTTAGGGCTGTGTCATTTTGTTTTGAACAGATGTCTTTTTTTAGTAACTTGTATTTCTGTTCTGCTAAGTTCCAGTTTTTATTTCTAATCTGGAAAAATAAATATTCTAGATTGTCTATTGCAGTCTAAATAAGAGGTTAGGGTAATGTCTCCGGAGCTCTTCCACCTTAAAAAGCATAGAAATGATTACCTGTGTCTCTCAGTGTCTTAGGCAGACTGATTGATGAGGTAGTGAGCATGATAACCAGAGGTGAGGGAGAGTGTAAGGCTTTTTCCTCTTAATTCTGTTGCTGATAGCAAGACTGGAAGAATACACTTGAATACACACCAGCGTCTTTGGCTAAGAGTGTATGGAGGAGGGGCTGAGTCGGGCAGAGCCAGAATGATCTGTAACTGTGCTAGCTGTAGCTCTTGGTGCTGCTGAAAAGATGTGCAAGGCAGGTGGAAATAGCCCTCCCCTTAGTGATGGTCTGATGGGAGGCAGTTTTTTTGTTTGTTTGTTTTTGGGTTTTTTGAGACAGGGTCTCACTATGTACTTGGGTCTGACATGGAACTCGCTATGTAGCCCAGGCTGGTCTCGAACTCACAGCATCCTTCTACCTCAGCCTCCCCAGTGCTGGGATTACAGGCGTGCGCCACCACGCCCGGCTCAGGAGGCAGTTTTTATAGTGGTCAAATTCTGTAGCAAAACACGAGATAATTAACCTATGAGGAGAAAGTTTTATTTTGAATCATGCTTTTGGAGGTCCCACTCTAGGATATCTCTGGGTCTCTCTGGCAAGGCAGTGCCTCATGGTAGGAGTTTGTGCAGAGCACACTAATTAACTCATTGACTGGGAGGCAAAGCCAGGGAAAAGGGAAGAGCGGGGCCGGGTTCCATAGTCCCCTTCACGGCCTGCCCCCAGTGACGTAAGGTGTTGTGCTCTGCCTCCTAAAGGTCTATGGTACCTTCCAGGATTGCCACCCTAGAGATGAAACCTTCAACACATGGATCTTCAGCAGCAATCAGAATCAAAACTCTAGCAGGCTGGGTGTGGTGGCGCACGCCTGTAATCCCAGCACTCAGGAGGCTGAGGCAGGAGGATCGCTGTGAGTTCGAGACCAGCCTGGGCTGCATAGTGAGTTCCAGGTCAGTCTCAATTACACAGTGAGACCCTGTCTCAAAAAACAAAAAAAACAAACAAACAAAACCCTAGCAGGTCTCACCTACACAAATGAGTGTGTAATCATACCTTGGGAAGAGCCTTAGCAACGGAAGAGAATCAATGGTTGGAGGTTCATGAGTGGGAGCGGGAAAGTGATTGAACCTGACATTTGAAGACTGAGAAGGAACTAACCAGATGGCAAGTATTAAAGTATTTCAGGTAGGAGAGCCTGTGTTCTGGTCGTGGGGCACCTAAAAGATAGGTGCTTTTCTCACCCCATCTCCCAAAAGGCTAGCATGGTGTCAGGGTGGGGAGTCGGGGAGAATGTCAGATTCTTTTAGCAAAGAAAAGCAGACGGCCACAAAGTGTCTTTTAGGTGTCACTGAAGGTTTGGTAATGGTTCAGAAAGGAAGGATGCTTCATTTTGAATTTTGAATTTCATTTTGAATTCAATTTGAGTTTGATGTTTGTGGGACCATTTGGTTTCTATTAAAGTACTACTTACAAGCTAGTAAGTTTCTTTTGTTTACCAAATGTAACTGTAAGGGTGGGTCTTAAAAACACTTACTTCAGTTTTATCTTATATGGGGCCTTGTCTTTTATTATTATTATTTTTTCCTTGTTTTTCAGGGTATAATTGACTACATCTTCTATTCCAAACCTCAGCTGAACACTTTAGGCATCCTGGGACCTCTAGACCACCACTGGCTGCTTGAGAACAATATCAGCGGCTGCCCGCACCCACTCATCCCCTCTGACCACTTCTCACTTTTTGCACAACTGGAGCTCCTGCTGCCTTTCCTGCCCCAAGTTAATGGCATTCACCTTTCTGGCAGGAGGTAGTCAAGTACCTTCAGAGGACAACCTCAGTTTTACTTGTAAACTCATGAAAATCTGAATACAGAGGGTGAGGTATGGCTAGAGGTTTTTCTTAATGGTGATTTGAATTTCCAGTTTGATGGTTTGGTAAAAGGACATAGTATGAAAGCCAGGTGCTAGCAACAGACAAATTCTGAGCCCAATATGCTTTATATACTGCTAGACAGGGATTGGTGTGTTTGCACCTATCTTTCATTTGTTACAAGTAATTTTCCTGTTTCTTGTATCCAATATAATATTTTCATGCCTTGAAATAGGAAAATGTTGGAACAGCATATTCTCTTTGCACAGAAATCTGTAGCACTACTTTTTTGAGGCCAGTAGTAACATCCAGAGACCATTCTTCCAGACTTTGCACCCTTTTTCAGATGATTTGTAAAAGATAGAATTTGAATTTAGCCTTTATGATTGTATATGATCCACAGAAGATCTGATTTATGAAATTTTGTACTAAAAAATAACAAATTTGAAAACAGTTGTATTGTAAACTAAGGCTAAATTTTTTTACCCGTTTCTTGTGTTCTGAAGGCCAGCTTGTAAAAGAGTTGCAACAGACTTTCTCTGCAATGATTTGCACTGTTAGGGTTTTGTTAGCCCTTTTGTACTACTTTATTTTTAAATCGAGAACCTAGCTCTCTAAGTCTGCTTAAACCATAGGACATTTTCTTGGACCAGAGGCAACTTAATTCATGAATTCCTGAATTTTTATGAAAACTATATCTACTAGGACAGATAAGCTCAACAGTGAATAATTCATAGGCATTTATGAACTGAATGTGATGGTTAATGTATGTACATTCTGATATTTTTTAATCTTTAACTTTTTTTAAGTTAAAAAAATTACAGCTGCATAGATACAGCTTCTTAACTTCTTTTTTAGACACATCTTGTCCTATCTCCACTGTGCCTGCCTAAATTTGTTCTCACCAAGCACTGCCTGTGCATGCAGAGAAAATCTGTGCATCCTCTTTTATATTTTTAAAGTATTGTTTAACATTTGTGAGAATTTTATGAAAATGCTTTTGTATGGGCTGTGGCTTTTATCCCATTGTGAAGCATTGAATATCCCATTTTGGAAAATGTTCACAGTGTGGGTCTTTGCTCACCTGACCGACGCAGTGCTTCTTGGTGTCATTGCACAGTGCTGTTTGTCACCCAAAATACTACTATCATGTGAATTTCTTTTTTTTTTTTAGTTACCCATGTATTCTCTGTTATCTTAGATTTTCTTTTAAAATCATTCCTTTTTAAAGAAAAAGTAATTTTCTGTTTATGAAGCAGTATAAATTAGATGCATTTTCAAAACGGGTCCCTAAGACATTTCTTCAGATCATTTTTAAAGTGACCAAGTCATTGTCAGATGTCAACCAAGATAAAAGTTACATTGTATCCTGTGTTTTGCCCATAGTGCCATTAGTAGGCTAGAGATTAGAGCCAGCTTTAACTTTGCAAAGTTAATGTGTATATATTTTGTTCTCAGTGTTCATTCTTCTGAAAAATCAAATGAATTCAGAGGGTGTTTGGTCTGCTTTTGTTTCAACTGCAGGCAGGGGAGCAAAAGGATACCATGTGAGCATTAAGAAAAAATTGTTCTTAACAATTTTTATACAGAGGATGAGTCATTTTGGATGACTTAAAATTTTATGAAAAATGTTAAGCACTAAATGTGCTTAGTCTGCTTTTAAGAGAAAATAAAATTACAATACTCTTTAAATAAATGATTTTTTTTTCTTTCTTTCTTAAGAAATTCTCCCAAAAGGTTTTCATCCTGAATCTTTGTCTTGGACCTGGTTTTTCCTTCAAGGTTTTTTTTTTTTAATACAGAATTTTGTTTTTTGTTTTTTTTGTTTTTTGTTTTTGTTTTTTTTGGCACTTTTTAAATTGTGCCGACACCAAACACATTTAGTTTATAATCAGTACATTGCAAAGCTGGTATTATGGATGTAGAACCAGTTCATGATTTTTTACGGTATTTTTGTTTTATTTTTTTTGTAAAGTGAGAATAAAAGTGTGTTTACTCATTTTTCCTAAACACTGTGTTGTATGTGCATCATGGCAATTTCCAGTGAGGGTGAACTGGAGCTGGTTGGACTGATGGAGGGAGCTGCTCTTCATGGGACCAGACTGGAATCACAGGTCCAGAGAGCTTTGTGGATGGGAGGGAGGAGCACTTACTTGTCCTGTGTTTGTTAATGGGAGATACATTTTTCATAGATGCTGGAACGAGAGTGCACTTGTTAGATGCTAAGGGTTTGAGCTTTACACAAAATGTTCTCATCTGTATTTGTTAACGGTCTAGAATGTATTTGAAATTTAGGGCCTATACTAAGATATACCGGCCTGCTGTGTCTTGAGAGGACTTGTTTTTGCCTCTTCCAGGCACACTGCGTCTGTGAGTCAGTTTGAACGGCTTCTCCACCTTACGTAGTAGATAGTGTAAATTGAACCAACAGTGCAGATTTACAACTGTAACCTTCAGAAGAAAAACAGATATTTTGAGTCTATAGAGGATAAATGTTCACACCAAAACAGACTATGATACTTTCATTAAGCAAGGGTTTATGTTTTAGATATTTTCTGTGTCCTGAATAATTTCCAATAATCCTTACTCCCTAAAATGCAATAAAAACTAGTTTGTTTTCACAGCGTAGATTATTTTACAAAAACTCTGTAACATGTATTTAATGTTTTGCCATAATGTAATTTCAGTGTTCTTGCTGGAAAAATCATCTTTGGAATGTTTTACAGAAAATTTGGGATTTGTTTTTTTGTTTTAAAGATGAGAAATTTGGAGGCACTCAATTACTTGTTGTAAATCTCTTGAATACATTTTACAATATTAGTGGTAATTATATTTATGCTTTGAGAATTTAAATAATGTTCATCAAAATTAATTTATGGCATAATTTAAACTAAAGTTGTAGAAGTAAATTGTTGATTACAATTTAATATTCCCAGAAGATGGGCAAAGAACATCTCCAAAAAATGAGTTTTCATTTGTATTTTTGATTGGGGGGCAACCAGGCGAACTTACTTTGGATTAGCACTTTGAAACCTAAGGATATCAGTAAATTGGATAGCATGCACTTCTGAATGTTGAAATTATAGTTTCAATGTCTTTCTAAGATTGAGTTTTTTGATGATAACATTCAAGTTTTAGAGTTCCACTTTTTTTGCTATTCAAACTTACGGAATTAGTTTTCGTTGTGACTTTTAAGGTTTGGGGGTCATGTCATACAGACGCCAACGTAAAACAAAAAGTTACAAACCCTTTGTTCTTTTAATGAATCTGAGCCAGGTATGGTTGTGCATGCCTGTGATCCCAGCATTCTGGAAGGATGAGGCAGGAGGATCACAAGTTTGAGCCCCACCTGGACAATTTAATCCTTAGAGACCCTGTTTCACATTTTAAGAAAGGCCTGAGGATGTAGCTCACTGCAAAGACCTTGGGTTCAATCCCTAATCTTGCCAAAATCAGAATATCCAGCATAGCTGTTGCAGATAATTGGAGTAATGCTTTAAGCAGTGGTCTGTTCCCCACATATAAGCAGTATTTAAGATGTTCGCTTTGCTCTTCCTTTTGGTTTTGTAAAATTTAAACGCTGGTATGTTGATGTAGTGTCTGAAATAGAGTATCTAGTCTTTATTCGCAGTACATTATATTGTGTAATGCACTGGACTAACTCTTGTTTACCATTCGTGTAGTAAGAAAACCCAGCACATTATCTGCACTAAGCTCAAAGAATGTCACATTTGCCTAGGCAGCTCTTTGATAAGAGTAATGGAAAACCGAATTTACACCGTGTGGACTGGTGGTAACAAGGGCTTTTACTCTTCTTTTCAGTGGAACCTTCTTGGTCAAATTGTAACTAGCTAGTATTATATTTATATACAGGGTCTCTTTTCTTTACCAATGTATTTTCCTACTCATAGCCAACCAATAAATTCAGTATCTGTTTCAAATATTTTAAAGTGTAATTTGTATAGCTGTAGTACTGAAGTTTGAAAAAAATAAGTGTTAGTCCTTAGACCACATTTTTAAAATTCTGAGTCATCTGGACAGGGTTATAACTCATCCTTTTAGAGGGAAGAGTAAAAGGGGACAGGGACATGACATGGGGAAATGGTGTAAAAAAAAAGTATGTATTTCCTTATTGGCTGTGTTATTTTGTATAACACTCGTATCTCTGCCAAAGTTCGGTTTTATATTTAGGCATCTGACGGTCCTTTTGCATTTAGGATTATTGTTGTTGTTACCATATACCTCATAATATAAGAGATGGGCTCCTGTGTCTTCCATCTATTGGAAGGAGGTGGACGTATTTTAAATAAATGCTTTTAATACAGTAGAAAACATTGTGTTCAGGTTATACTAATTTATTAAATGTTTTACATATTACATGTATATTTTGTTGTATATTTTGAAATATGTGACTTCTGAAGTCCTCATGTGTGGGCTTATAGTTAAGGGGAGAAGGGGATTTATTTGGTTTTTTGAAACTATTTCTATGACAAATAAATGTAAATTTTATGTAAGTGCTGGAAAAATCATTCAAAAAGAAAATTTAGAGAATGTTTGCTGAGATGTCCAGTTTTAAAGTAGGCCTGTGCCACATAATCCTTAAGTAGCTAATTTTGTCTATATAACAGGAGCCTTGGTCCTCCATTTAATTGTTCAAAAAAAAGTGTAAAAAGTCATTGAAATATGTTTGCTGTGTTGCTTTGTAAATTCTAATTAATGTTCTTAAGAGAAATAAGTACATACTTACACGTGACCTGAAATATGTTTAGCATTGTGTTTTCAGGTTTTAGGTAAAAATGTTGTCTGTATTAGGGATTTCTTTTTTGAACTATTTAGGTATTCAAATGTAAACTGATTTTAAAATAAGCTTTCATAAATACTACAAAGACAGTATAACAGGTTATTTTTTTAGGAGAATCCTGTGTAAAGAGTAGATTTTAGTAGAATTTTAGTGAGATTTGTGAGATATTTCCCCAAGTAAAGTTGGCCCAAATAATATTCTCAGTTGTTCTTCAAATGAGTCTAACCAACTGGTATAAAGATAGAAATTGGGAAAATTCCTGGTTTATAGGATAGCTTGCAAACAGTGTCTATTAGTTTCTTTAGCACATGAAACATTTCTAATCATAAAGGATAAGGAGGTGCTAGTTTTCTCATTCTTTAAATGCCAACTTCAAATCACTCTGACCTACCCCAAAGTGCTAAATTACTTGGATCTTTCAAAAGCAGCTTTGCTTACTCTAATCCGTGTGACCCGAAGTGCCCTTCTTCAAAGACTTCTTTGCCTCATGCTTTTAGTTTTACTAGCAAAGTGAGTCTCAGCCACTGGGCTAGCTGGATAGAGAAGGGCTAGGTTCATTTTGGTGAGTAGAAGTGGTGGTTAAACCAGTTTTCTTGGTCACATACCAATCCGCACTTAGAAGTGAGACACTTAGAATGGTAGAATTACACGTAGTTTGGAAGTAGAAATTTACGGGTACAATCCCTGTGCCTTGTTGATCATTGCAGTCCAGTGCAGTGAGTGTCAAAGATGCACCCATGATCTAGGGCGTAGCTCCCTCCATGAGGCTGAACAGTCATTCAGAGATACTCTTTGAGCTGGACTACATAGTAAGACCCTGTATCAGACGGCAAAAAAGAAAGTTAAATTGGTGTAGCTATGCTAATACCGAACAAAAAAGATGGAGGGGAAAACAATGCTACTAGATATACAGGGATATTGTATAATAAGTAGTATCAAAAGCACCCCAACCACATGAAGCAAACCCTACAGAATAGAAGGGAGAAATAATTCAGTAAAAACTAGACTCTCATTACCTTACTGTGTATGGATAAAACAACAAGGCAGAGTATAATAGAGTTGAACAATTAAATCTCATGACTTGGTGTGTAGAATACTACCAAAGAGCATAGTACACATTTTTTTCTCAATTGTACACAAAATACTTTGCCGTTTAGATAATATGCTGCTCTGTAAAACAGGTCTCAGTATGTTTGAAAGGACTGAAGTCAAAGTACTCTCCAGTCAGGTAAAATTTTTTAAAATTTAGAAATACATGGAAGTTAACACTTCTAAACCAGTGAATCAGAGCAAATTAGAAGATTCTGTGAAATAAATGAGAAGATAAAATACCAAAATGGAACCGCAAACTGGTTAAAGGGAAAATTGTAGTTGTAAAGACTTTTTAAATTTTAATTCACTAACCTAGAGTTCCATCATGTACTAGAAAGCAGAAGTTAAACTCAAAGTAAAGGATAGGAAGGAAATAAGAATGAGATTTTTTTAAAATCCTGGAATAGAGAGTAGAAAATCAAGGGAATTAACACTAAATTGTTCTTTGGAAAGATGAGCAATATTCATGAGTAGGCTGAAGGGCCAGGAGGGGAATTACTGGTAAAGATATTTCAAAGACTGCTTCAAAAGTGTTAAATGATTGTGTGAGTGTGTGTGTGTGTGTGTGTGTGTGATCAGAATTTGATCCGTTATATGTTTTTCCCTTTTATTTCCATTGAGTTCATTGGTACTTTTACCCTAGTTCTTTGAGTTATCTCCATATTGGTTTCCACAGTGGTTGCCCCAGTCTGTGCTCCCACCAACAATGCAGAAAGGGTTCCTTTGTCCCTCCCGCCTTGCCAGAATTTGTTATTGCTTGATTTCTTGATAGCAGCCTTTCTTACTGGAGTGAGGTGGAATCTCCGTGTTGCTTTCATCTGCATCTCTCAGGTGACTAGTGATGTTAAACATTTTTTCATATATTTATTTGCCACTTTTACTAATTTGTCTGAGAATTGTCCATTTCAGATGCCCATTTTTGAATCAGGTCTATATTTGAGGGGCCTGATTTTTTTGAGTTCATTATATATTCTAGATAGAAGACCTTTGTCTGAGGTGCAGCTGGTAAAATTTTTTTCCCATATTGTAGGTTGTCTCTTAGTTGTGTTTGTGATTTCATTTGCAGTGCAGAACATTTTTAATAAGATGAGATCCCAGTTGTTGATTATTTGTGCTAGTTCCCATGCTACTGAGGATTTGTTCATGAAGTCTTTTCCTATGCCAGTGTCTTCAAGAGTTCTGCCTAACTTGCAGCAAGTTTAGTGTTTCTTTTTTAATATTTAGATCTTTAATCCACTTAGTTAAGTGCATGGTGAAAGATAATCTTTGGCAGGTTGAAATCCAGTTTTCCCAACACCAATTATTAAAGAGACTATCTTTCCTCCAGTGAGGATGGTTGGCTCCTTTGTCAAAGATGAGGTAGTTGAGTACATCTGAAGTTGTTTCTGATCCTCAGATCTTTTTCTTTGCCAGTACTGTGCTATTTTTATCACAGTGGCTTTGTAGTATAATTTCAAGTTGGGGATTGTGATGCCCCCTGCCATGTCCCTATTGACTAGAATTGCTTTTGCTATTCAAGGTCTCTTCTGGTTCCAAATGAATTTTTGGATTATTTTTTTCTAGTTCTGTGAAATACACTGTTGGAATTTCCATCGAGATTGCACTGAATCTGTATAGCAGTTTTGGTAGTATGGCCATTTTCACTGTTGGTTCTTCCTACCCATGAGCAGGGGATATCTTTCCATTTTCTTATATCCTTTTTGATCTCTTTTTCAGAGTTCTGTAGTTTTCGTTGTAGAGGTCTTTTGCTGCTTTCGTTAGATTGATTCCAAGATATTTCATTTTTTTGGATGCTATTGTGAAAGGAATTATTTCCCTCACTTCTCTCAGAGTTTGTTATTTGTGTACAAGAAGGCTACTGATTTTTGAGTGTTGTTTACATTGTATCCACCTACTCTACTGAAAGTATCAATTAAGTCTAGAAGCATTTTGGCAAAGATTTTTGGGTGTTCTATGTAGAATATCATATCATCAGCAAATAATGATAGTTTAAGTTCTTCCTTTCCTGTTTTTATTGCTTTAGTTTCTTTCTCTTGTCTAATTGCTGTAGTTAATGTTTCCATAACTATGTTGAACAGAAGTGGTGATAGTGGACATCCTTGTCCTATTTCTGATTTTAACGTGAAGGCTTTAGTTCTTGGCCATTTAGTATGATGTTTGCTTTTGGTTTTTCATAGATAGCCTTTATCCAGTTGAGATGAAGACCATCTCTTCTAATTTTTTGCAGGGATTTTACCATGAATGGGTGTTGAATTTTGTCAGATGCTTTTTCTGCATCTATAGAGATGATCAAATGGTTCTTGTCCTTGACTCTCTGCATATAGTGTATTACAT